TAATGGCAAATAAAGAGTTTTGAACTTTGATTTTTGGTCAGCAGTTCCTGATCCTCTGAGATCCTAGAAGCCGTAAAATGGAACCAGTTTTCACTGTTTTAGCGTTTTATTTTATTTTTTATTTTATTTTCTCCCTTCAGGTTCGTTTTGAATCGTTATCAAACCGGACAAAGATAATTTTATTTGGCTCTTCATATGAAAAACCCTCCAAGGAGCCCGTTGCCAACAGTCCATTAAACTAGCACCATCCCTGAGTTTAAATCAACACTCTTCTCTCAACGTTTCGTGAGTTCATCATAATTACTGAGGAGGAATGAACGCAGCTGCTCGGAGCCGGAGTGGGTCCAGACGGTCGGAGGGGACGACGAGACCCTGGACCTGGTTTTCATTTGCCAGCCGTGATGCTAATGAAGCCGGCGCTGTGTCTCCAGAGGATTCGCTCTGACACGGTTCTACCAGATCTGTCCAGCCATGGTTGGAGGAAATGTGATTCAGACGGGGTCTCGGGGGAAATAAGCTCGTGAGGTGCGGCTTCAGGCAAACTAATATCCTCAGCCTGTTAGACGGAGCAATAATCTGAACACTGGGCTGAGGGACACCCGGCGGGGCCCCAGGGAGGGCCTGAGCGGCGCCGGGGGAGAGCCAGCCAACGTTTAGGAGGCCCCTGTCACAGAAACATCAGCTGGTTGTCGCCTCAGACCTGCAGGACGTCCTGTTTTTACAGGATCAAGGTCTGAAAAGAAACCTGCAGGCGGGTGATAGGCATCTCTGTTTCAGCTAACGGACTGTTTGAATCTTCTGTAGCTCCTCTTAGGTTTTAGCTACTGTTGAGCTTAGCTTTCAGATGCTGCTATGCTAATTTTAGCTTTTAGCAACAGTTTCATTCATTTAGCAATTTGTTTAGGTTTTGTTATTTTAAATTAGGCTATTGTTCATTAATTTTAGCTTTAGTCTTTGTTTTGCTAAAAGTAGCATTTAGACACTAATTTACTACTTTAGCTAAGTTCAGTTAGTTAAGTGAGTGTAGCTTTAAGCTAATCTTATGTTAACTGTAGCTTTGAATCATTGTTTTGTTTATTTTAGCTTTCATTTATATTTAGTTTATTTCAGCTTTTTAGCTACAGATTTACTAATAGTAGCCTAGTCCAAAAAAGTTCAATCTGGTCCTCTGGACATTAAAAAAAAAAAAAAAAAAAAAAAACAAAGCAAAAAAATGTAGAAACGTTTCATCTCTCATCCGAGAGACTTCCTCAGTCTGAGGTGTTGTTTTCAGCTCACAAGCTCACAGCATTGTAAGCTGTCCCCCTCTTACAATGCTGTGATTGCTAGTATCACTCAGCCCTCTGTGAACAGGAAACAGCCATCAGGTGCTAATGATCCATTGTTAGGCTGATGGTCCTTCTTGATCATGTGATCAGCTGGTTCTGGTTGTCAGCAGCAAACTGGTTGATCCACTCTGAGAAGGTGCTATTTAAGAGACTGAGCTGAAAACAACACCTCAGACTGAGGAAGTCTTCTGGATGAGAGACGAAACATTTCTATATTTTTTTGTTGTTTTGCTTTGTTTTGTTTTTTTGAATGTCCAGAGGACCAGATTGAACTTTTTTAGATTGTCCTCTAGTAGTCTAAGTCTATAGCAGCATAACAAGCCGACCCTAACTATAGGATTTATCAAAAAGGAAAGTCTTAAGCCCAGTTTTAAATCTGGACAATGTGTCAGCCTCACGGACAGAAACTGGAAGTTGGTTCCAGAAGAGAGGAGCCTGAGAACTGGAAGATCTTCCTCCCATTCTGCTGCTGGAAACTCTAGGAACCACAAGTAAACCTGCAGCCTGAGAGTGAAGTGCTCTGTTAGGAAAATATGGAACAATAAGATCTCAAAAATAAGATGGAGCTAGGTTGTTGAGAGCTTTGTAGGTTAGAAGTAAGATTTTGAATTCAGTTCTGGATTTGACAGGGAGCCAATGGAGAGAAACTAAAACTGGAGAGAGATGATCTCTCCCAGTAACTCCAGTTAAGACTCTGGCAGCAGCATGTTGGATCAACTGAAGACGTTTTAAAGAAGTATTTGGACACCCAGATAATAAACCATTGCAATAGTCCAGTCTAGACGTGACAAATGCATGGACCAGTTTTTCTGCATCTTTAGACCAGATGTTTCTAATGTTAGTGATATTACGCAGGTGGAAGAAGGAAGTTCTAGTAACGTTTTTAATGTGGGAGATAAAAGACATGTCCTGATCAAAAATAACACCAAGATTTTTAACATTAGAGCTGGAGGACAGATTAATGCATCTAAGGAGGGAGAAAGACTGAAACATTCATTCCTAAGGTGCTCAGGTCCTAAAACCAAAACCTCAGTCTTGTCTGTTCAACAGGAGAAAATTAAGGGTCATCCAGGTTTTTATGTCTTCAAGACATGCTTGTAGTCTAAGTAGCTGAGTCAGAGAGTCAGAGTTTCTTTATTTTGTTGTTCGCATCATGTATACATGTAGTGGAATGAAATTGTGTCCACAGGGTCCCAGTTGCATCGAACAATAGCAAAAATATAATGTGTAAAAAGAAACAATAAATAAGGATCTAAAATATCAACTAAGATATACGCTGAACAAACACCAAATGGTAAAAACGCTAAAAGATCTAAGATATACACCAGTCACTAATGGAGCAGAATACACCGAACAACAGCAGCACGATTCACAAAGGTTCTGTTCGGCTACAATTTACACGCTTAATGCGAACACTAACATAAACTAACATAAACTCAACTAACATAAACTAAATTAAGATAAACTAGGATTTGTTCAAAGCATGCAACAAAAATACAGAAACAAGGCGCCAAAGTGAAAAATAAATAAATGTACAGCAGCATGGTCCGATTGGCAGACTGGTTCTGATGACAGTGAGGTTTCTTTAGCAACATGGTCCCGTTGGCACCATCCATGGTACTGTTAGCGGCGTGGTTCGGTTAGCAGGTCCCTTCAGTAGCATGATGATAATAAGGACCACAGCAGCTGCCTACCAGACTGCCCTCCAGAACCAGGTCCAGCAGACAGAGAACATCCCAGGTTCCTCCTCGGAACCAAGCCGGGTCTGGAAGACGGAGGATCGTGTTAGCAGCATTAGCAGGTTAGCAGGTCCCGTCAGCACCCCGATGGTATCAATGACCGCAGCAGCTACCCTCCAGAACCGGATCCGGCAGACAGAGAACCTCCAGGTTTCCCCGCGGAACCGAACGGGTCCGTAGAGTTCGGTCCGTGCAGGCAGATGGAGGATCATGGAAACAGCCGCCATGACAGGCCTGAGCCCGAGGCTGGAAGGACTGAACACGATGGCAGGATTGGATAGATTCATTGGATTCATTGTGTTTCATGGACAAATAAAACTGTGCATCATCAGCATAACGACAATTTATCCCATGCTGTTTAATAACATTACCTAATGGAAGCATACACAAGGTAAAAAGTATTAGTCCAAACACTGAGCCTTGAGGAATGCCATGACTAATTTTGATGTATGATGATTTGTTATTTACATTTACAAATTGGAATCAGATATATATTTTTAATTTAGATTTGGCCACTCTGTTAACTGTTACTTTAGCTATTTTTATTTATTTATAGTAGTTTTAGCTTCTGTTTAGCTCATTTTAGCTTTAAGTCTTTCTTCCCTTTTCAACAAAGTAAAGTTAGATCAGCTTGATGGTTTCTTTTCTTTCTTTTTTTTTTTTTTT